TTTCTTTCTTTTAGCTGGGGTGACAGCTGAATTTCTGAGCTATAGTGAAGAACAAAAAGCGGTAATTACATTTAAAAATGGCACCATAATAAATAAATCGGCGTGGGGTCCCCCTTCCCATCCATATTAAGCCTGGGTCCCCCTTCCCATCCATACCAAGGGTCTGGTATGGATTTTGAGGGGAACACCCATGCCAAAATTAAAAGAAAAAATGGCGTGGGGGTCCCCCCAAAATCCATACCAGACCCTTATCTGAGCATGCAGCCCAGCAGATCAGGAAAGGGCCCCCCCCCCCCCTAAATCATACCAGGCCACATTCCCTCAACATGGGGGGTGCTTCGTGATTGATGTTGGATCTACTGCGGGAAACATTCTTTTTAGTTTTTCTTTTAATAAAAAACTTGTCAAAGACTGTGTCCTGTCTTTTTTCACACTACACTTTTTGTTTTTCTTGAATGTGTAGGGGTACCCATACTCATTCAACTAGGGAGGGATCTGGGGGCCCCCTTGTTAAAGGGGGCTTCCAGATTCAGATAAGCCCCCTTCCCGCTGACCCCCACAACCACCAGCCAGGGTTGTGGGGAAGAGGCCCTTGTCCCCATCAACATGGGGACAAGGTGCTTTGGGGGGGGCAGGAGCCCCCCTGCCCCAAAGCACCCCCAATGTTGAGGGCATGTGGCCTGGTATGGTTCAGGAGAGGGGGAGGGGCGCTCGCTCGTCCCCACCCCCCCTTCCTGACCTGCTGGTATGCATGCTCGGATAAGGATCTGGTATGGATTTTGGAGGGGACCCCCACGCCATTTTTTATTTATTTTTTTTTTATTTTGGCATGGGAGTTCCCCTCAAAATCCATACCAGACCCGATGGGCTTGGTATGGATGGGAGGGGAGACCCCATGCCATTTTTTTAACTATTTTTTTAATTGGCGGCAATTCTTTTATATTTAGTGGGGAACCCCGCTGACAGCTGAAACATTAACACATGGTTGTCACTACTAAAATACCGCATGACTTGATAAAATAACTCATGCGGTATTTTAGTAGCGTTTACTTTTTTCTGACCTCCATAACGGATTAATTGGTTTTCAATGCATTCCTATGGGAAACAGACGCTATACGAAAAGTCCTGCAGAACGAAATAAACCGAGGTATTACTGTACTACTGTTTCCTGTTACTGCTTTGCGGCTTCTTGGTGTCACCTGCCTGATAATAGGACAATGAGGTCGCCTTGTGCTTTCATCAACCTGTAAGATATATGAACATCTCTCTCCTCCTACCTTCACTGCCTAAAAAATGATAGATTATCAGTGTCCTATAGTAAATTTGTACTAAACATACAGGGCTGCTATTGCTGGCCTCACCTTCGGATCATGGCAGCTGGCTAGTTGTCATGTAGATTTAACCCTTTCCCTTTCATGGACTTATTCTTTACAGCATGACAATCAAAAACGTTAAAAAAAGCTCATGACTGCAATAACAGCAGTAAGCTTGTTTGAAAATGCTTATTCCAGTGATCACTTTAAAGCCTACGTTTAGCTTAAAATAAAACCGAAGAACCAGAATAAGGGACGTAACTTCTGAAGTGTCCCTTGTCTGGATTCTTCTGCTTTCTGTAGAAATCTTCCTGCGTCCTTCCCCCTATTCGCTTTAATTTTTGGTGCGGTTAATACAACTAGTAGGCAGTCAGAAGCACTTATCAGGAGACCTTGATTATGCCTGCCCTTTCTGCCATTCACAGAAACATTACTACAGTTTCTAGGAATGGAACCTGATCTCTAAATGGGGGATGGGCAGGTGATTGATAGAGCCACCCCCTCCATTCATAAATCCTGTGTCATTCATAGAAGCTAAAGTGTACAGCTTCTATGAATGGCGGATTGGGCAGGAAATAGCAAGCATAGTCAGGATCTCTTGAGGAGAGCTTCTAATAAACCCGTAGCTGTATTAACCCTCGCCACAACCAAGATTAAGGGGGACAGGAGGTATAGGACACAGGAAGATTTCTATTGAAAGCAGAAGAATCCAGCCAAGGAACAGATTATACTGTCTGTAAGTTATGTCCCTTGCACTGATTCTTCTGTTTTCAGTTTTCGGCTTTGACCCTTTCACTGCCAGAGACATGTTTTAACTTTCACACATGCTAAAATACACGTTTTATTTATTTTTTAATTCAGAACACGCTTAGAAACCCAAAATGTTCTACATTTTCTAAAAGAAGAGAATCCATTTCATAAAATCATGGTAGTTTATCAAATCTATATTTTTAGAAAACAAATATTTTTTTTAATTATAGAAGTGTTTGGGCGGCTGTATAATCACTTCTTTTGGAGAGGCTGTGGCTGGATCTACAAAATGTAAACCATAACAGCTATGAGTTTGTTTACATCACCTTACTGCCGTGCCGTAATACTTGTGGCAAATTTTAGTGACGATCGGTGATTAAAACTTTTTTTGCCCCTTATGGGACATAGTACATGTAGTACTTTGGTCTTCCATTTCTAAGTGTTTTTGTAATCATAGTTATTAGTACCAACCTGCCCCCTCCCCTCCTGCCGTGGCTGATCTGATGATGGCTTTAACCGCCTCCCGCCTGCCATATAAAGTAATGACAGGCGCAAGGCGGTTCTCTCGTTCTGGGAGGACGTCACATGACGTCCTCCCACTCTATCTGCGCATGCGCGGCTCCGGGGGTGCGCAGCATGGCGATCGGTGGCGCGCTGTGTTCCTCGGACACAGCGGATCACCGATCAATGGAAAGAGCCGAAGATTTCGGCTCGGTCATGTGATCAGCTGTGTCCAATCACAGCTGATCGCATGTAAATAGGGAAATGCCGGTTAGCTGCATTTCTCTTCTCACGAGCTGTCACTGACAGCTCGTGAGGAGAGGAGAGCTGGTAATCTGCATCACTCAGAGGGGACATCTACACTGATCATCAGGGCACTGATGATCAGTGTAGCCCCAGCAGTGCCACCTGTCAGTGTCCATCAATGCCAGCTGTCAGTGCTCATCAATGCCACCTGCTAGTGCCACATCAATGCCACATATCAGTGCCCATCTGAGTTGCCTATCAGTGCTGCCAGTCAGTGCCGCCTATCAGTGCTGCCAGTCAGAGCCGCCTAACAGTGCCAGTCAGTGCTGCCTAACAGTGCCATATATGAGTGCTGCCTATCAGTGCCACCTATCAGTGCCCATCACTGCAGCCTCATTAGCGCACATCAGTGAAGGAGAAAAAATCACTTATTTACAAAATGTTATAACAAAAACTAAGAAAAATTTTTTTTTTTCAAAATTTTCAGTTGTTTGGTTTGTTTAGCAAAAAATAAAAAAAACCCAGAGGTGATTAAATACCACCAAAAGAAAGCTCTATCTGTCTTAAAAAAATGATAAAAATTTTGTATGGGTACAGTGTTGCATGACCGCGCATTTGTCATTCAAAGTGTGACAGCGCTGAAAGCTGAAAATTGGCCTGGGTAGGAAGGGGGTATAAGTGCCCTGTAGGCAAGTGGTTAAAGGAGAAGGTAGATTCATAGCTGCCCCCTGTCTCAACACTTTCCTGAAACAAGAAAAAGGAAGAGGAACGCAGAAGGAGAGAGAATGTGCCAGGCTCTGCTTTCCTCTTGCTGTTACTTGTTTCAGGACAGTGTTGACAGCCAGGACAAGCTGCAGCCATGAGTCAACTGTCTTCTTCAAAGCTGTTGTTTGATTGGCCTTGGCAGGAGGAGAGGAGGGCAGATCGAAACTCATTCCTATGTTTAGAAAGCACTTAGAAACAGTAGAGAAAGTACTACATGTACATTGTCCCATAGGCAGCAGAACTGTAAAAATTAGTGATAGATTTTCTTTAACCATTTTAGCTCTCTGGTCTACTCCCCCGTATGGACCAGAGCAATTTTTACTTTTCAACTACAGGTCTACTGATTCTGCAATCATTTTGTCATTACATAAAGTCTAACTGTAGGAACAAAAAATAATAATACCCTTAGAGTGGGGCTCCCCCTTTACTGCAAGGGTTAAATGCTCGATAAGTCTAGCTATGCATTAATAAGGTGCAATCCTTGCCGTATTCCTCGCTCTGGCAGGGTCCTGCCATTGATGCAACCAGTAATGCAAAGCTGCCTTTCTAAGTCGCTCACAGCAGTGGTCACACTCCTGCCTCCTCTGCGTACAATGCAGTTAATAGCCAAGATGCATACTTATATACACCTTAAGTGTACGCTATAACAACATCCAAAGTCCATAACTGCTTTTTAACAGAAGCTGGCTGCTTATATATACATCTGCATTCCCATTGAATAGGTTTTTTTCACCATCTTCTGCTGCTGCAGCTTCTGGGCAATTTGTCTTTAGGCCAAATAAGTTAATCAAGTTCCCTTCACTGAAATTTCCATAGGAGAGCATGAGGAATCTGAGGGGGTGGACTTGGCTAATGAGGGAAAGCGGATGTCCAAGAAAAGCAGCTGTTAAAAGCTGTTCCCAGTGTGATGTGAAAGACAAACAGAAGCACTGAATGCTGTGAATATAACATTCCACCATCAGGATTTATTTTGCTGGAACATTTATACAATGATGTAATGGTCATTTCAATCCTAGACAACGTACAGCACTCATATTAATAGGAATCGGTTACTTCACCCATTAAAGGCCTATTGAAAGGTTGTCACCGCCCAATGATACTCACCTTTCCTTCGCTCTCCTGTCATACCATTTATCTGTTAGAGCAGGGGTTTCCAAACTTTGTAAACAAAGGGCCAGTTTACTGTCCTTCAGACTCTATGAAGGCCGGACTGTGAGAGTGACAGTGAGAGTAGAAAATGCCCCAACCTCAGTGGAAGTAAACAGTGCCGTTCATTTGTTTAGGTGGAATAGCACCCTGTCGTTGGTGTCTGTGGGAGAAATGGTACTCCATCGTTGGTGTCAGTGGGAGGAATGATGTCCCATTTTTGGTGTCAGTGAGAAGAATGGTGCCCCGTCATTGGTGTCAGTGGGAGGAATAGCACCTCGTCATTGGTGTCTGTGGGAGGAATGGTGCTCCATCGTTGGTGTCAGTGGGAGGAGTGATGCCACATCTTTGGTATCAGTGGGAGGAATGATGCCACATCTTTGGTGTCAGTGGGAGGAATAGTGCCCCATCATTGGTGTCAGTGGGAGGAATAGTGCCCCATCATTGGTGTCAATGTGTGCAATAGTGCCCCATCATTGGTGGTGTCAATGTGTGCAATAGTGCCCCATCATTGGTGTCAATGTGTGCAATAGTGCCCCATCATTGGTGTCAATGTGTGCAATAGTGCCCCATCGTTGGTGTCAATGTGTGCAATAGTGCCCCATCATTGGTGTCAATGTGTGCAATAGTGCCCCATCATTGGTGTCAATGTGTGCAATAGTGCCCCATCATTGGTGTCAATGTGTGCAATAGTGTCCCATCATTGGTGTCAATGTGTGCAATAGTGCCCCATCATTGGTGTCAATGTGTGCAATAGTGCCCCATCATTGGTGTCAATGTGTGCAATAGTGCCCCATCATTGGTGTCAATGTGTGCAATAGTGCCCCATCATTGGTGTCAATGTGTGCAATAGTGCCCCATCATTGGTGTCAATGTGTGCAATAATGCCCCATCATTGGTGTCTGAGGGAGGAATGGAGCCCCATCATTGGTGTCTGAGGGAGGAATGGAGCCCCATCATTGGTGTCTGAGGGGAGGAATGGAGCCCCATCATTGGTGTCTGAGGGAGGAATGGAGCCCCATCATTGGTGTCAGTGGGAGGAATGATGCCCTTTCATTGGTGTCAGTGGGTGGAATAGTGTCCCATCATTGGTGTTTGTGGGAGGAATGGTGCCCCATTATTGGTATCTGTGGGAGGAATTACAGCCCATCATTGGTGTCCGCTGTGGATAGAAATAGTGTCCCAAGGGCCACATCTCGATCCAGGGCCGCAGTTTGGGGACCACTGTGTTAGTGCCCTGAGTCTAATTCCCATGTAAACTCAATGTCAATCAGTGTCAGAGCTTACATAGAACTATTGACCTTTGTTCCCTTCCTGCATGACAAGGTTAATGTCTGGCAATTGGCCTCCCACATCTAAACACTGCTCCCTTTATCTGGAAGTACCATGTAATTCTGACACATGAATGGAGGGTTGGGAGGAGTGTGACGAATATAAAAGGGTGGGCTTTCAAAAGAACCTGTCATTTTTCCCCAGACACACTAAATTTAAGTAAACTGGTAGATGAAAGTAAACGACTGCTTATTTGGGACATGAGAAAATTCAGTCTATATGTAAAATAAAAACACTCGCAAACTGTTGTGTAGACGTTGCATTCGTTGACTAATGATCAATAATAGTTGATTGTTTCAGAAAAATTATCAGCTGACTTAATATAGAAATCTTCAGTCTTTAGAATTTAGTTGTATTTTCCATTAGGAGCATTTGACTCTTTTTTTAAATAAAAACAATCATCTATTGAGTGAACAATTCATTTACCGCAAGCGATTCCTGAACAATGTGATTCTATATTGAACTTTGGTATCATCATCTCAGCATTATAGGTCATGTTCTGTCATTGTATTTGGCCTTAGTACAGTGTTCTAAGTTCATGTTCACGAGGTCTCATCTGACTGTAAATTTTTGTTTTATCATAAGCAAGCCACTTGATGGTCCTTACAGTTTGCAGGAAGCACTTGTAACTGTTACTCCTACTAAAGTTAGCAATGCAAATACACAGGTAGGCCTTTATGTTTCAGGGTTTCAATAATATATGAATTGTATTTCAGGTATATTCTTTCTTGTAGTGGCAGCAGAAATTCTAGTGTATTACTAATGCTATGCTTGTACCAGTCTAGACTTTGTCAATAGTTGCAGTCAACCTGTAAAAGGAGATGGTAAATAATACAATGCTTATGAACGATTGACTTCCCATGATGGCCTTCTACTGCCTAGCAGATATTCATAACTTATAGTGTGTCTCTGTACTGATGCCTCATCTATTAGTTGAAATCCTCCTCCATCCCCTACTCAGCAGCCTTAAAGTGGTAGTAAACCACAAGAACGAAAAGAAAAAAAAAATCTGCAAGGTAAAGGCATAAGGTGCTGGTATGCATCGCATACTAGCACATTATTAAGGACTTTCTTCATAACGAAGCCCTCCAGCGCACGCTTTCACTGCTGCAGAGGCTTCCATCTTTACCTGGTCCTTCTTCCTGGATTGCGTTCTTTGGCCGTCTGACAGGCCGGGCCTCGATGATGTCACTCCCACGCATGCTAGCAGGAGTACTGGGGCACGTCACACAGCTCTGAAGGAACAGCATGGGTATGCCGTTCCTTCAGAGCGCATGCGCCAGCTTTAGGAAAGAGAGAATATCTCCTAAATGGTGCATGTTTAGGAGATATTCATTTTACCTACAGGTAAGCTTTATTATAATCTTACCTGTAGGTGAAATTTAAAAAAACAAGTTGACTACCACTTTAATCTTCCAGTGTTGCAGGGGTTATTAGGACTAAGGGGCTGTCATAGACTCTCATCAAGAGAGCCCAATTATGCTGACGCTTTTCTGCCCAACTTCCACATACTACAGTTTTTATGAATTAAAAATGATGTATGACTGGAGGATGATTAATAGGTCTGCCCCATCCACTCATAGATCCAGAAGCTGTAGTACATTTTCTGTGAATGGTGGAGCTTGGTGGAAAGGATAGGCATAGTCTGTCTCTTGATGAGTGCCTGTGACAACCCTTAGTTCTATTAACCCCGCCAAAGTGCACGATTATGGGGGTGAGTGGTGGGGGCATGGATGGCAGAGAATATCATCTAAAAAAGGGGACATCAGAATAAGAGGCACATTCTACTTACTGAAAGTTATGTCCCTTGTGCTGATTTTTTTTTTTTTTATATTGTCTGCGTTTAGACTTTAAATGTTGTGAAAGGTTTGAATTCTGCTATGCTGTGGGCAACACCACTGCATTCTGTTAATGTTCTTGCAACTTAATCCCTTTTTGTGTAGCTTGATTTGTTATGATTTTAGTTGTTAATATATTGACATGAATCTGTATAAGCTCAGGTGCCTATTTCATACCTCTACAGTGCACAACCTATAGTTCCTGTACATCTCTGGTTTTTGTCATTGTTTAAAGATGTTCTCTGTGTAAATGAATAATTAATTTCTTTCTTGCAGGAGGTTTAGATGCCTTTTTCTTTCCTAAAAGATGAGTGCAGAGTCTTCCTTATCATCAGCACAACCAAAGTGCAGGGTACAGTCTGCCTTGAAGAAGATCTTTGGATTTGACTCTTTCCGGTCTAGTCTGCAGGAGGATGCAACTCGTACTGTGGTTAGAGGTAGCTGCTGCTATTATAAGCTATTCCTATTTACTAGTAAACTTAGTGCAGGGACGTAAAGTTAGAAAAAAGGTAATAGTCACGATGACATTTTAATTCAGTTGTTTAGTTATTTAGCCCTATGTTTTGTCTTTTTTTTTTTTTTTTTTTTTTTTAGTTTGCATTTATAAACATTTTGTGCAGATAATGAGATAGCAATTACGGAAATTTAATAAAGCCCTAATGACATGTTTATGGCAGTATGTCCCTTTAAAATTACCTGCACCAACATTTCTGATCCCCCCGTTTTTGTAGTTGTACTGACACGTGTCGCAGATTCAGCCAGTTTTTAATAACACTGCAGGTGAACACGCTGTCTTGCTCTGCATGTGGATATCCATGTATTGTTCATGGCCCCTCAAGTGCAAATCATAAGCGTAGTGCTTTTGTGGGCACCAAATTTTATGATATCGCAGTACCATGCGGTTTGGTGCAGTGTGTTCTGAAACAGTAGTGCTTGCATTCAAATGAGTTGTCTGTCAAAATCACACTGCGCTGGAACTGACCGTAACTCCAGACAGTATTTAGGCATTTTTGGTAGACACCATTTTGAACAGAAGGGTCAGCAGTCAGCTTTTAATACAAAAATCAACTTTAGAGTGTATTTTTGCACAGAAAAGGTAGCTAAATATTGTAACAACTCCATTCACAGTAATAAAAACATCCCTTTTGGCCACATTTTGAATAGGAGAGATACCAGGCATCTTTTAATAAAAAAAATAAACAGTATATTTGTTTACCAAAAAATATTTTAATTTCTACTTACATAGTATGTAGGCATTTTTACTAGGTCATAGTTTAATGGGGAGAGACCATGTATATTGTAATTCTGCATTTTCAGTTAAAGACGAACTTTACCATACTTCACCCTAAAAGGGAAGTTCCACTTTATGCCCTCCTTCTCCTCTCCGCTCTTCTGTTTTTTTGGAGTTTTTTTGGGGGGGGGCTTATCTGATTTTGACAGGTACTCACTCCCACTAATGATCCGATTGACATGGTGATCCACACACAGGAAAAAAAAAACAGTAAAGCATGATACAGTTTGCTCCAGCAGGGGGAGAAAAATCCATCCTGATCCCCCCCAAGAGGCAATCAGGTGTTCCCCAGATCAACTTTACTTATAAATATTAGTATCCAGTTATATTTCATACATTTAGGAAAGAATCCAGGCTTTTTTTTTTAAACAATCTACTGAGCTGGCCAGATGCAGATCTTGATGAAGTCTACTCCACATTCTCAAAGCTCCTACTGTGAAGAAGCCTTTCCATTTTTGGAAATTAAATATTTTTTCATTCAGACGTAAAGAGTGCCACTTTGTCCTCTGTGATGATTTTAAGGTGAATAACTACACCAAATTCACTATATGGATCACTTATGTGTTTATACATGTTGATCATATCCCCCCTCCCCCCTTAATCTCCCCTTCTCAGGAGATAATAAATTCAGTTCCTCTAATCTTTCCTCATAGCTGAGCTCCTCCATACCTCTTGCTTGCTTTGGAAACCACATCTTGGCATCACCCAGATCCTTCTCCACCATTGATTCCCCCAGTTGTACTCCCCCTAGTATGTATGGTGCATGAATATTTTTAGCCCCCAACTGCAGAACTTTACATTTATTAGCAGTAACCAGAAACCGGCGCTCAAATCTCTCTTACTGCACTCAAAATGGAGTAGTGCACTGGCTGAGGTGCCGCCATGATAGATTGGGGAATCTTGATACTAGCAGAAAAAAATAAAACTGGGTGCACTGTCCTCGTGCATTAACGCAAAAACCATAACTTTATTAAAAAGATGCAAAAACATACTCACAAGCCATAAAGGTCATAAAAACAGAGACAAGAAGTCAAAGGTGCCAATTGTGGACAGCATGCGTCCTCAGATAAAGGTCTAACGCGTTTCGGGAGTAGAACTCCCTTCCTCAGAACAGTAGATGAAGAAGGGAGTTTGACTCCCGAAACACGTTAGCACTTTATCCGAGGACGCATGCTGTCCAAGATTGGCACCTTTAACTTCTTGTCTCTGTTTTTATGACCTTTATGGCTTGTGAGTATGTTTTTGCATCTTTTTAATATATTGATGGTTTTTGCGTTAATGCACGAGGAGAGTGCACCCTGTTTTGTTTTTTTCTGCTTGCATTTATCAGCATTAAACCTTGTTTGCCGCATAGTTGCCCAGTCAAATAGTGCATTGAGGCTGGCTTGGAAGTTAACTTCTTTGTCTAAAGCAAAGCTCAACAAATCCCTGGTGCCAGGTCACCTTGGCGACTGTAAATTGCGTCCTGGCGCCCGGGCTATACTGCAGCAGTGGTCTGGATTCGGTCTCCCCATGTACCCCCAGCTTTGCGGCCAGTGGAGCAAGATACCGCGTTCATTTGTGGGAACTGAATGGACTGGGAGTGTGTGGCAGCTGGCTATGGCTCCAGTTCCTTTTAGCCACTCCCCTCCCCTACAAAGAGGGAAACACAGGTTTTAGGTAACAGAACAGATCCGTCAGTGCAGCTTCATCAGTGCCTTCTTATCTGTGCAGCCTCATCAGTGAAGGAGAAAAATTACTTATTTGCGGAATTTTATAACTGAAACAAAAAAAAAGTTGTTTTTTTATTCAAAATCTTCGGTCTTTTTGCCTAACGCCCCAGACATGTTGTTCTGGGTGCCTGGCAGCTGATTTAAAAAAACTTTCTCCTAACATTTTTAGCTAGCTTCTGGATTCAAAGCAAATTTTTCAAGCTCTGGTCTAAGGTTTTGCTCAACTCCTCATAAAAAGAAATCAGACTTTTCTGACAACTTCTGTATTTCATGAATCCATGCTGACTTTTACTTAAAATATTTTTTCCAGCAAGAACTCATTTATGTGGTCTTTTATTAAATTCTCCAGTATCTTCCAACTATAGAAGCTAAACTGACAGGTCTGTAGTTACTTGGTAAAGACTTTGGCCGATTTTTAAATATAGGCACCACATTGGCCTTAGACCAATCCAGTGGTACTATGCCAGTCATTAAAGAGTCCTTTGAAATGACAGAGCTCAATTCCTTTACCTTTATAAATGTGAGCCCCGCAATATCCCTTTCTTCTATTGGTCTCTGCTAGGGACAGATTGATACAATTCAAGATACTGTATAGGATTTATCTTTCTTTAGTGTGACTTCATAAGATATACTCATCTGTACCTTCCACTTGCTGGAGGGGTATGGCAGCCCCAGCAGATTACAATTACTTGTTTTTGGTTTGCCCTCCCCTCAGATGCAGACATTTTGGTGTGTTATTCTAACCTTTATTCCTCATTGACTACTATTCAGATTTCATTACACGTAGACATCTGTTGGGGTTTAATGCTCCTCTGGCATTTACCAAAGTATCCATAATCCTTTAGGGTCTTCTCCCATTTTATGCCAAAAAATCAATGGTGTTAAGATGGAGGTCCCCCGTTGCCCTTGACTTGGCATTTTAGAAATCTCTTGTAAGCTTGACACTCCGACGTTATCTTAAGGCTACCTATCTCTCTAGAGGTTACTCCAAAAAATGTCAAAGTATGGGATCTCTGGCTTGAATCCGAATCTACCAATATGTCCTGTGAGGTGCCAGATTTATCCTTGTTTTACTAGAGTTGTATGAGGGTGTTTTTTGAAAAGAAAGATTTGCCTTGCTCTATCACATTTTTCTAAGGTCTATATCGAACAGTATCTTTTGGACTTTGCGATAAATATTAGCTGAGAACCCATTTTTAATTTGAATGTTGTTTTTATTTCTCCTACCTTTGGTGGATCTGAGTATATCTACTTTATAATGTGTGACAATTTTATTGTCAATGTGGATGCTTGAGCTAGGGTATGCCCAATTGGCTCTGTTTTGTACTTTTATACCATTAAATCCTAAATAAAGAGAATTAAAAAAAAATGTGAACCTCATTACTTATATTATATTGACTATGTGATGTCTATTTTTAGGTGACAAAGATGTGTTTGTGTGCATGTGTCCAACCGGAGCTGGCAAATCTCTCTGCTATCAGCTTCCTGCCGTCCTTACAGTGGGAATTACCATTGTTATCTCTCCACTCATTGCTCTAATTCAGGTAATGACAGAAATGTATACAGTATATGTGTATTTGTGGTATTTTTTAGCAAGACCTCATACGCTCTTGCATATTTTCTGTAAATCTTGTACTTGAGCATACATTGTTTGCACATTTTCAATAATCCCAACACATCTGTGTGACAGTCTGCCTATGGACACAGATTGCAGCCTATGAGTGCTGACCTGTTGGACATACTTGCACAGACTGAGACAAACCAGTGTAGAAATTACTGGAGCAGTAACATTATTTATCTTAATTGTACAGTGCAGGACACAGGCTGGATATTCATATGCACTGGTTTAGATGCTGCCAACTTCAAGTGATTGTACACTGGCAAAAGCTTTGCCGGGTATGCCCCTTGGGCGTACCCCTTTATCCTTTCCCCACAATATGTATTTTTTGCTAGTGACCTTTGGAGATGGACCTCTTCTTCCCTATGGAGAAACTTTCTGCGGTTAACCAGTTTTCTTTCTTTGTTCTTTATTTTCTTTATGTTTTTTTTATTTTGGATTCTTCACTCAACTCTTCACGGTCTTCTACTATGACAATAGAAACAGTGCATCCAGATGGGTGTAACTGCGGTAATACCAGGGATACACTGCAGGTTCACGTTGCCTAACATTGGCTGTTTCCCAATAACATTCATTGAAATGATTTTTTTTGGCAACCAGCTTTTGACAGGTGAATCTAGGATACCTAAGTTGAATATCCTTTTGCAAACAGTTCAGTTCATGTAAATGTAAGCCGTATGTAAATATACTTATTTTTTTATTTTATACCTCTATATTCTGCTGTATTTACAGTGTAACATATTTTATGTACAGTGTCTGTAACATTTTTTGCTTTTATTAACTCCTAAAAGTTCATCTCACCTAAAATGATATTTTAGTTTTAAATGGCTTCCTTCTATGGGACTGCTGCAGTATCATCTGTCTCCTGGAGTATCTGTGACGTAGTTCTTGGTTTTAAGCATTGTCATACTATGTTTTCATGTTTATCAGAGTGCCTGAGAAATAAAGCAACTCCTGTCTGTTTTGTTCTATGGTTTAGTCCTCATGTACACTGGACGTTTTTACAGCTGCTATTTTGGGCTTTTGACAGTTTTTTCTACATCTAGTAAACCCCCCCAGCATGTTATCCTATGTGTCCATGCACACATGGACTGTAATCAACGTTTTTTGGCTGGAAAAAAAACCCAGGACTAGTGGGCTTCTAGAGGAGTTTTTGGCTGGAAAAATGCTCTAATGCTGACAAATGCGGTAAAATGCCGCAAACCAGCGTTTTTGGACTTTTTTTGACAAAAAAAAATTTTTTTTTTTGTTAAACGCAAATGTGGAAAAACACCACTAATCGCGGCATAATGCCTCCTAAACGCTATTGCAAAAGCGCTAAAAAAAAGCTGGAAACTCAAGTTTTTAACACGACTTTACACAGCTAACATTACCAGTATTATGAAAACGTCCCGTTTTGCATAAGGGCTAAGAGTGAATGTAAACAAATGAAAAAAAACAAAACATCTTTACACTTACCTGAACCTCCTCTTCTCGGGTCCCCTGCCGTTGCGCCTGGCTCCTCCTCTCTGTCCAGTGCCCGCATGTGAAGCCACTCATAAGGCTACTTGTGCGTGCTCGCTCCTGAGCTTCGCTGCTGCGTCTGTTGACACAGACAGTGGGGCTCGGTCCTGCCCCACGCTCCCTAGTCATTGGCTTTGATTAACAGTAGCGAGAGCCAATGGCTTCTGGTGCAGCAGCAAAGCCAGTGAGACACGGAAATGAGGGGAGAGAAACACTGCAGTCATGCACAGCGCTGGATCAAAAGAGCGCTCAGGTAATTAACAGGAGGGGGTGCAGGAGCAAAAACAGATCCCCAAACCAAAGTATGCATTAAGGTAAAAATGTTTAGGCTTAGAACCACTTTAAATCTGAATTCAAGGCATAGTATGAATACCCGGCTCTGTTTTCATTTTGGCCTCCTGTAATCTCCTGTACAACAGTTTTCAAACTGGCAGAGGGATAGTGAGCACTCTAAACCAAAAGGATCTGATCCATGTATATGTGCCGACAAACGACTTACTGACAAAAGACTAGAGTAGAGTGATGACCTCTTTTTTCTGATGCTGGTTTTTCATTGCCCGATTACAGGCTTGGGACAGTTTGGTGACCAAGCTGTATTACCTAACTGCAGTGGAGAGAATTGAGGTTTACTAACCTGGCTGCTGTAAAGCTGAACAAACATTATAAAATTTTCCTTTAGATTTACCAAAACCATATAATATGAAATCAAATGTAAGAACTTTTAATCTGTATGCAGTCAGGCAGGCCCTTGCACTACAAAGTTCAAGGTAAATTTAAAGGAAATTGAATAAGAAATAGTATAATGTACAGCCAGCTTAAGTCTCAGTACTCTGCCTGAACAAATACTGGCAGGTAAAACAATTACCATATGTGCATTTTAAAGTTGTATTCAGCTGTGGTTCAGGAAGGTTCAGTTTTAATATCAGTAAGTAACTAGAGTATCAGTTTTCAGTGAACTGTTTAATAGATGCTAATTAGTTCTTGTTCACCCTTTTCCAATATACAGGATCAAATAGACCACCTTGTAGCCCTGAAGATTAAAGCCTGCTCTCTAAACTCCAAACTGCCCTCAGCAGAACGCAAACAAATCCTACAAGATCTGGAGTGTGAGAGCCCCAAAACCAAGCTTCTATACATCACCCCTGAAATGGCTGCTGCCACATCTTTTCAGCCTACCCTGAACATGCTACTTTCTCGGGGCCTCCTGTCCTATCTCATCATAGATGAAGCCCATTGTGTCTCTGAATGGGGCCATGATTTTCGTCCTGATTACCAGCGTTTGGGGACTTTGAGATCTCGCTTGCCGCAAACGCCCTGTGTTGCTCTCACTGCCACAGCCACCAAGCAAGTACAAGATGATATTATATCGTCACTGAAGTTGCGTCAACCCATTGCAATGTTCAAAATGCCTTGCTTTCGTGTCAATCTTTTCTACGATGTTCAGATGAAGGAGCTTTTGTCAGATGCTTATGGGAATCTCAAGGATTTCTGTTTGAAAGCTCTAGGAGAGAAGAAACCTACAGGGGTAAGAAAAATTAAATCAATTAAACTGGAATGATAAATTGTGTTGATGATTTACCAAACTGCTCACTTTAATTGCTAGTATGCCCTTAAGGCTTGCATGCCTGTTACTTATTTAAACACTAGCAAATCTAAATTCCAGGCCTGAATATATAAGATTCTCATAGTGCCATATAATGTTTCCTATCATAGGGGCCATAGATCTATAAGCCCCAATTCTGACAACAGTTTAATGAATATGTTTACTATAAAACATGCATTTATCTTTTTCTTTTTTTTTTTTAACAAGCAAACTCTTTATTGAGAGAAGAAGAAGACATGTAACCACATCATACCGCCAATTTGAGCGAAGTCAGTATAGTGGCAAAAAATGTCTCGTATTGCCCCATACAAAGATATTAAACATAGAATCTAGAGATTTGAAAATGCGCAACGGTAAATATGCCGTTGCATGCCAAAGAATGTAAAGAATTTTAAGCAGAGGCACCATCTTGATCAAATTAATACGACCCATAACCCCTAAAGGAAGTCTAGCCCAAGCCTGTAATTTGGATTTTAACATCGAGTACAGAGGTTCCAGGTTAAGCCGAAGATAATCCTCAACTGCGCAAAAAACCACAACCCCGATATGTAATAGTGCTGACTCTAACTAGAGGGAGGGCGGCGTGTTCCTCAGTAGGAGCACCAATGTCCAGAGGGAGAATCTGGGGCTTCCCCCAATTTTTTTCTGAGGCCAGAAAATTGCCCAAAGTGGTCTATAAGATTAAGAGAGGGGCCAGCATCTTCTAGGTACAAGAGCATGTCATCCGCATATAAAACTCACCGTTTCTACTAGTTGACCAGAGCACAGACCTCAAATTGCGAAGTGCATTCAGAGAGCTATAGCTAGTGGTTCCACTGCTAAGGCATATAACAAGGGGGAAAGAGGAAATCCCTGACGCGTGTCTCTAGAAAGGGGAAAGGAATCAGACTCTCGACTGCCAACCAGGACCCTGATAGAGTAATCAAAGCCATTTAAGAAATTTGGGCCCAAACCATTTTTCATTTTTACCCTCTTCCAATGACCTAACCTAACCCACTTACCCCCTCCACAGATGCTTACTTAAGCAGGTCATATGCTGTTACCTTTTTTTCAGCCCGCTGGCTGAATAAAAAAAAAAGTTAATACATTTCTCCATCCACACAAATGAGATGGATGAGGGAATTCCCCCTACCGAGACATGGTATTCTGACAACTGCACCAGCTGCTATCAGAATTCACTGATCAGTGACTGCAGCTGCTGATCAAGAAATGTTTAACAATATGTCCCTTCGATCAAGCAATTGACTTCTCTTGAGTGGGGATGGTAATACACCACACACTCACTGAATTTCGATCAGTGCACGACTAACTTTACCTTGATCTGAAAACCACTTGTGCACTGTTTTGTTTTCATCCAATGTCCTGGCCGCGCCTACACCATTAGTGACCTATAGACATCTGTCAAGCTGTGTCCCAAGGCCAGAGACGATTGGAGATAATCCCATAGAAGTCAAAGGGGCTGTAATGCATGTTCATAGCTAGGATAATGAAGACTTGCACTGCTGAAAGTACTCACAGTGTAACTGTGGCTACATTTGCATCTGTAGAGTAGGGAGGGCTAGGATCGTTCAGGGCAAGGGGCAAGTAACATAAGTGCACTTTGTTTTAAAGTGTTCTTTTGTTGTATACAGGACCCCCTGTGAAGGAATTTCCTTTTTTAATATGTATTTTTATTAATAGTATTTCATACATGAGAAGGAAATCTCAGAGCCCCATAAGTAAGTCAAAGGGACAAAGCTGTCTCTTACTGGGAGTTCATGTTTAGCTGTCTATTAAGAGATGAAGTATTCAACGGTGTAAATTTCCCTATTAGCTACTGATCTCTATAAGTAATAGGCTTTTTACTACAGATATGTGAAAAGGCACCAAGAGATTCACCTGCTGGCTGGATAACCAAAACTACATAATATGAAAATAAATATATACAGTCAAGTCCATAAATATTGGGACATTGACACAATTCTAACATTTTTGGCTCTATACACCACCACAAAGGATTTGAAATGAAACAAACAAGATGTGTTTTAACTGCAGACTGTCAGCTTTAATTTGAGGGTATTTACATCCAAATCAGGTGAACGGTGTAGGAATTACAACAGTTTGCATATGTGCCTCCCACTTGTTAAGGGACCAAAAGTAATGGGACAATTGGCTTCTCAGCTGTTCCATGGCCAGGTGTGTGTTATTCCGTCATTATCCCAATTACAATGAGCAGATAAAAGGTCCAGAGTTAATTTCAAGTGTGCTATTTGCATTTGGAATCTGTTGCTGTCAACTCTCAAGATGAGATCCAAAGAGCTGTCACTATCAGTGAAGCAAGCCATCTTTAGGCTGAAAAAACAAAACAAACCCATCAGAGAGATAGCAAAAACATTAGGCGTGGTCAAAACAACTGTTTGGAACATTCTTAAAATGAAGGAGCTCAGCAACACCAAAAGACCCGGAAGACCACGGAAAACAACTGTGGTGGATGGCTGAAGAATTCTTTCCCTGGTGAAGAAAACACCCTTCACAACAGTTGGCCAGATCAAGAACACTCTCCAGGAGGTAGGTGTATGTGTGTCAAAGTCAACAATCAAGAGAAGACTTCACCAGAGTGAATACAGAGGGTTCACCACAAGATGTAAACCATTGGTGAGCCTCAAAAACAGGAAGGCCAGATTAGAGTTTGCCAAACGACATCTTAAAAAGCCTTCACAGTTCTGGGACAACATCCTATGGACAGATGAGACCAAGATCAACTTGTACCAGAGTGATGGGAAGAGAAGAGTATGGAGAAGGAAAGGAACTGCTCATGATCCTAAGCATACCACCTCATCAGTGAAGCATTTTGGTGGTAGTGTCATGGCGTGGGCATGTATGGCTGCCAATGGAACTGGTTCTCTTGTATTTATTGATGATGTGACTGCTGACAAAAGCAGCAGGATGAATTCTGAAGTGTTTCGGGCAATATTATCTGCTCATATTCAGCCAAATGCTTCAGAACTCATTGGACGCCGCTTCACAGTGCAGATGGACAATGACCCAAAGCATACTGCAAAAGCAACCAAAGAGTTGGAAGTGGAATGTTATGCAATGGCCAAATCAATCACTTAACCTGAATCCGATTGAGCATGCATTTCACTTGCTGAAGACAAAACTGAAGGGAAAATGCCCCAAGAACAAGCAGGAACTGAAGACAGTTGCAGTAGAGGCCTGGCAGAGCATCACCAGGGATGAAACCCAGCGTCTGGTGATGTCTATGCGTTCCAGACTTCAGGCTGTAATTGACTACAAAGGATTTGCAACCAAGTATTAAAAAGTGAAAGTTTGATTTGTGATTATTATTCTGTCCCATTACTTTTGGTCCCTTAACAAGTGGGAGGCACTTATACAAACTGTTGTAATTCCTACACCGTTCACCTGATTTGGATGTAAATACCCTCAAATTAAAGCTGACAGTCTGCAGTTAAAGCACATCTTGTTCATTTCATTTCAAATCCATTGTGGTGGTGTATAGAGCCAAAAATGTTAGAATTGTGTTGATGTCCCAATATTTATGGACCTGACTGTATTTACCTGAATAAAAATGAAGTCTTACATTTTTATTTATCTTTTTAGTCCTGATCATAACACATGGGGTGCCTAAGTCACATGTTTTTAGGATCTTTGGTTAAAAACACGTAGAATCAGCAGATTGTTTTATTTATTCCAGGGAAGGTTATAAGACATAAAGATAAACTAAACTAGATATGCAGCAGACATTTCTGTAAGTCTGTTCCTTGGTGAGCCACTGATTACAATCATCTCTAACACAGGGTTTCTCAGGCTGTGGAATAGTGTACTGCCGAACCAGAGAAGCATGTGAGGAAGTAGCAACACAATTATCTCAGCGAGGTGTCCCCTCCAAGGCCTATCATGCTGGTAAGTGATATATTCTAGATTAAACCATTTTCTGCATAGTATACTTGACTCTTTAAAAACATATTTCAGCAAGTGTGCATTCATTGTTCTTATCAGGTCTCAAAGCAGCAGATAGAGTGACTGTCCAAAATCAGTGGATGGGGGAAAGTTATTCCAGTGATAGTGGCCACCATCAGCTTTGGAATGGGGGTGGATAAAGCCAATGTGAGGTGCGTTGCTTTCATTGTATAATTAGGTTGTAGCAAATCTGTTTGTTATAGTCCTACATTAACTTGGTTTTTATTTGGGGCAGGTTTGTTGCTCACTGGAACATTGCCAAGTCATTGGCTGCCTACTACCAAGAATCAGGAAGAGCTGGCCGAGATGGCAGGCAATCATTTTGTCGCCTCTACTACTCTCGTATTGACAGGGACCAAGTCAGCTTTCTTATAAAAAAGGAGATCACAGAAGCTCAGGTGAGTTTTAGGCTTCAGAGGACGAGCTACTCATATGCTTGTATTTTCTGTTTATTACCAGTATTTAAAAAAAAGACTTATTATTTAAAGGACTAGTTCACTTTTAGTGCAGTGTACCCTATGAATCTCCCACTATATATTTACCCCACTTGTGGGGTAAATACTTGCCTGCATCCCCACTCCTAATATTTATGCATGCTGTACTATCCTGATAGGCACTACACAGCTTTTTTTTCCAAATCAATCGCAGATGGGCCTTGTACTTGCTATGTGTGCTATGGTCCCTGTTCATTCCTTTGAATAAGTCCATGCTCTTGCTGCAAATGGAGCAAGGGGCTAACCATAGAATTGTATAGGGCTGTGGCAACAAAAGAAAAACCCAGGACCTTCTAACCACTTTCCAGGTCTAGAGTCTCTGGTATATTACATATACAACTTTAATCGCAAGAAACCTGCAAAAAGGACTTCAAGAGACCACTCCTCAAAACTAATCATATCCAAAAGAAGATTCAAAATCCAACAAATTATCAAAAGTAATTAGTAGAACTGTATCCCCTAAAAAATATTATCTATTACAAAATATACACATTAAAATACCATGGTAAATATATAGATTGTTGCTGAATATCAGTTAGGCACTGCATTATTGTAAGATACATATAGCGGACCTTTTTTTTTTTACTAAAGCAGCCCATAGATGACTCCATTTTCTTTCCTTCCAGCATAGGTGGAAGGAAAGAAAGTCGTTTGATTCTCCTATCAACTTAGTCATTGTTGATGGGGGAATGCCTCCCACGGCTCTGTTGTGTTCTACTGGCAGGGGGGCATGTGGAGCCTTCCTCATGGGCAGAACACAATGATTACTGTTAGCGACTGTAGCCACCAACAGTTCTCAAGTGTTAAAAATCCAACAGGCTGGTTGTACCCAAGTTGTACAATGGATTGACTTGGGTACAATCAGCCTACTTATACGTGGATCGACACTCGATCCACTGGCTCTAGTATTGAATTCTGTTCATAGACAACTATAGTGAAAAGGACCCTGCTGAAGCAATTGCATTATTACTGATGTGAAACCTATATCAGCTCAGCAGGAGCTAAGACCTACCTATTCAGTAGAAAAGGCACCATATCTCTAGTATTATGGACATCCTTATGAGATGTCTCCACACCACTAATAGGCTGAAGGTTAAGTGCCATAGTGGACAACTTCTCCTTTCTAGAAGAACTTATGTTTTCTAGTGTAAAGTATGGATAGAGAACTGGCTAAAAGATTGTATTCAAAGAGTAGTGGTTAATGATTCATACTCTGAATGGTCTAGGGTTGTCAGTGGTGTACCCCAAGGTTCAGTGTTGGGACCCTTACGTTTTAATATATTTATAAACAATACAGGGTCTGGGATTAAAAATCCCATTTCAGTCTTTGCAGATGACACCAAGCTGTGCAGTGGAATAACGTCTTTACAGGATGTCTCCCAATTTACAAGCTGACCTCAATGTACTGTTTAAATGGACAACTATGTGGCAAATGAGGTTTAATGTTGATAAATGTAAGGTTATGCACTTTGGGGGTAAGAACATGCATGCATCATACATACTGAGGGGGGGGGGGGGTACAACTGGGAGAATCAATGGTGAAGGATCTGGGAGTTCTGGTAGATCACAAGCTTAATAATGGCATAAAATGCAAAGCTGCAGTTTCTAAAGTGAGCAAAATCCTCTCTTGTATTGAAAGAGGTGTAGACTCCAGAGAGAGAGATATCATATTACCCCGGTACAAATCATTAGTAAGACCTCATCTGGAATATGCAGTTCAGTTTTGGGCACCAATTCACAAAAAGAACATTGGGGAACTGGAGAAAGTACAGAGAAGGGCAACCAAACTGATAGGAGGTATGGAGGAGCTCAGCTATGAGGAAAGATTAGAGGAACTGAATTTATTCTTTCTTGAGAAGAGGAGATTAAGGGGGGATATGATCAACATGTATAAATACATCAGTGGTTCATATAGTGAACTCGGTGTAGAGCTATTCACCCTGAGGTAATCACAGAGGACAAGGGGGCACTCTTTATGTCTGGGGGAAAATGAATTTAATCTCCAAACATGGAAGGTATCTTCACAGTGAGATCTGTAAAAATGTGGAATAGACTCCCTCAAGAGTTGGTTCTGGCCAGCTCAGTGGATTGCTTTAAAAAGGCCTGGATTCTTTCTTAGATACACAGAATATAACTGGTTACTAACATGTATAGGTTAAGTTGATCCAGGGAATATTCGATTGCCTCTTGGAGGATCAGGAAGAAATTTTTTTCCCTGCAGGAGCAAATTGCGTCGTGCTTTGCTGGTTTTTTTTTTGCCTTCCTCTGGATTAGCTGTGGGTATAGGATAATTTTTTTTTTTTAATGCTTGAAATGGATGGACTTTTGTCTTTTTTCAGCCAGACTATGTAACTAATTATAAATACACAAAGAAAGTAAGCGAGCGCTAACAAAGCTAGCAGCTGCATGCACTAAAAAGGAACTACAGGTCCTCCCATAGAAATCAAATGTATCACGAATAAGTGCAGCGCATAAAATAAACCAATGAATAACGGAGGTGATCTAGACCATGTATGTCTCTCAATAAAAATAAAAACATAATCATCACTCAAGAAAAACAGTAAATTATCACATGTGAGCCCATAGGTTAGTCCCAATATATAAATTCTGTAACGTGAAAATGCTATTTAAAAGTGAAGATCCAGCAGGCTGTGCACGTATATTCTGAAAATCAGGAATCAGCCATAAAGTGGAAGGTGATAATCATCCGGTGGTGTGCGATAGATTAGTGGGATTGCAAAATGTATAGGACCTGCAACTGACCAGTGTGAAGCGTTTCACAGGATTCAATGGTCAGGTGTTTTTCTTCAGCTTTTTTTTTTACCGCAAAAATGGAAGAAAAACTGATCAGTGTTAAAGCAGTCTAAGTGCACCTTGGGGGTCAATCACACCTATAAATTTAAAAATACTTTTAATAAAAGTTAATTTGCTACAAGTATGTTCAGTTCATATTCCTTCTGTGTATTCATCAGCAACTATATGGCCACAATTTCTTCCAATACAAACTAAAAGCATGAAATTAATTCATGCTGTTCAGGTTGCACCTGCTGACATCTCTGTAATGTTATACAACTAACAAAGCACCAACTGGAAAGCAAATTTTTGGCATGTGAGACATAGTTACATCAAATGTATCACAAATAAGTGCAGCGCATAAAATAGACCAATGAATAACTGAGGTGATCTAGACCATGTATGTCTCTCAATCAAAATAAAAACATAATCATCACTCAAGAAAAACAGTAAAATATCACATGTGAGCCCATAGGTTAGTCGCAATATATAAATTCTATGACGTGAAAATGCTATTCAAAAGTGAAAATCCAGCAGGCTGTGCACATATATTCTGAAAATCAGGAATCAGCCATAAAGTGGAAGGTGATAATCATCTGGTGGTGTGCGATAGATTAGTGGGATTGCAAACTCACCAGAAGCGCAATCGTAATGCGCATTGGTTAATATTAGCCAGCCTGGAGGTCTCCCTTCAATGGAATCTGGTTTGGTCTGGGATATTCCCCCTCTGATGGTATGGACGCTTAGAGCGATGTCAATCAGAGGTCCCTCTCATGGATGGTATGAAATGGTCTGGTCAAAAGGAAGTTTATTCCATCCTCCGAGTCGGATGGGACCTGGGTCCTGGGGGTTTAAGTGCTCATATTAGAGCAAAAAATAAGGGATCCCATAGTGTAGTATTCTTGTAGTTTAATTATGAAATGATTAAAAGGTGAAAAAGTGTACACACATATCATCCAAATAAAAATCAGGTGAACGAGGTAGAATAGCTTTGTAAACAATCAATATAAGTAGCCTGTGCTGCCAATGTTACTGACCAGTCAGCTAGTTATGGTGGCCGCCTGACCTCCGTGATCCGGCAGCGTGACGTCTCGGGGTAGTGGGGCTCCTTCTTGACGCGTTTTGTATAAATATACGTCCTCAGAAGGGGTGATGCCTTAATTACCTGGACGTCTGTTCAGCTATATATAGTGTTTCAAATGGCACTCGCTTATTAGCGAGCACCATCTTGCCAAGGATCAGTACAGACTGCGAATGCCGTTGGCGCCATGTTCCTGTGGATCATTGTCGGCCAGTGTAAAACGTACATGCGCGAGTGTCGCCATAGTACTGTAGATCGTTTAGACTGTGAATTAAAATGCGCTCATGCGAGCGGAGCTGTCACTAGTCAGCTATGGTGAATGGCCTGCTGTATACTGAAACATTGTCGGCCAATGCAGATTGCACATGCCCAAATGTCACCATATTACTGTAGATTGTTTAATCTGTACATAAAGATGCGCTCGTGCGAGCGAAGCTGTTACTAGTCAGCTATAGTAAATGACCTGCTGCATACTGATGGCCATATAGTTGTGAGTCTATATTGGTCAGAAAAAACAAAGTAAGCACAAAATTCGCTATGTAAATATAAGTCATGAGAGCTGAATCCGTAAATATTAGTGCATGCTATACTGCCACCAATTTGTTGTAGTCGCCAAAAGGGTACAAAGTGTGCATATGATAGATACTCCTATGGATGAAGAGTATAAAGCGTGCATATGATAGTTACTGTATAGTGATTAATTAGCTAAAGATCCTAA